AACATATATGTGCTATACTAGGCCTAATATATAACATATATGAGCTATACTAGGTCTAGGAATATTGAAGTCTCGTTTTAGCCTTATTTTATCCAGACTGTACATATTAATAGTACAAAAAGTGACTTACTGGGGTCCCATCACTACATGTTGGTACGATCGACCACTTGGGTACAACAAGTACTATTAATACAGAAGGATGGGTCGTATGAACAATAACGACTGACAAACAACTACGTTTTCTATGCCTGGGTCCTTGGTTAGGTTAGGTTACTACAAGTTCTTTGTAAAGTAAAAACTCGGAAGGACGGGATGAATACTTAGTGGGCTAACCAGAGGCTTAGGAGCAAGAAGCACCTCAAGGTAACCATCATTACTACTATCACCACCATCACTACTACCACCACCACCACCACTCATATTACAACCATTACCTTCATTTACTATAACTATTCTACCTGAGGCCCTTCGGTATCTCAGAGGAGAACTGGTAATTGGTACTATGGAACGCTTTCCACTAACGGGTAATTGTGGTGGCATAGACAGTGTAGTATATATATATAAATTATAATGAAAGGTTATAATACTATATATGCAAGAGTACATACCTATGATTCATGAACAGTGGAGAATTCATACACAAGAACAACACATAAAGCCACTTATACTACAAGAATAACGCGACGTGTTTAGGCTGGGAAGTTGATTGTTGTTGACATGTCTGTGTCTCGTGTTATGGTGGTTGGTCACGTCCCGTGTTATGGTGGTTGGTTACGTCTCCTGTTATGGTGGTTGGTCACGTCCCGTGTTATGGTGGTTGGTTACGTCTCCTGTTATGGTGGTTGGTCACGTCCCGTGTTATGGTGGTTGGTCACGTCTCGTGTTATGGTGGTTGGTCACGTCTCGTGTTATGGTGGTTGGTCACGTCTCGTGTTATGGTGGTTGATCACGTCTTGTGTTATGGTGATTGGTCACGTCTGCTATAATGGTGATTTGGTCACGGTGTTTAATGTTCACCTCTGCTCAGTGCTGCTGCTCCAGTTCTGTTACGATGGCTTTATCTTTGATCTATCAATCGTGTCGCGTTTTCATGCAATTGTCCGGAACTCCTCTCAATTGGTGTTCTTAAGTATACCATGCTTTACAATTTTCTTTGATACAATTTTCTCTCCTGCCTCTTGTTCTCAGGGCTAACTTGTCTATATCTGTTTCAATCCCCCCCCTCCCTAATAGTAGGATCAAATAATTTTTCATAATTCATAGTGTCGGGGGACAGGAAGCCAGAATGTATTCATACACGTTTGGCTTTTATCGAGGTCCTTCCCCCCCCTCCAAAGTCGAATTACAGACCCCGCCCAGGATGCAACCCTTCAACAAGCTGACTAACTCCTGAGTACCTACGGATACAAGTCATATCGTACACAAGACGATTCACCAACGGATTTTGAAAGCTCCCTAACTTAACCTAGCTCAGGAACATAGAATTAAGGACTTACTGGAAACGCTATGGGTGCTAGGGGCTTTACAAGAATGTAAAACTTCAAGTCTCTGTACTCTCATAAGCCAAATGTACTGTTTTGTATATAAATAAATAAATTTTGACCAGGAGAAATGTCTTAGCATTCATTTACGACTATGGCCGGTAGGCAGTTCTATAGTACTGTAATCCTATGGGTGAAAACCGTCTTCTGTTTTACATTGAGGCTTGTTAAACTTGAAGCTGTTGCTACTTGTATGTGTTACATTTGACCTTTTAAATAAGTTTACTGACCACTTACTGAATCCAGTAAATCCAGTTTACTGGATTTACTGAGCGCAAATCCTTAACTGTAGCCTCTGTTTAACGTAACAGTAAAATGTGTACTTGGTTGTAACAACGATTCTTCGCGGCGGGGATCGTATTCCAGGGACCTGCCCGAAACGCTACGCGTACTAGTGACTGTACAAGAATGTAACAACTCTTGTATATATATCTCAAGTGGTCTGGACTAATATTCAGCAACTTGGTCAGTATTTTAAAGTTCAATATGAGATCAGCCCTGTCATGTCTGGTTTGCAGTGTTAGTCCTGTGGCTCTTGATCGTTCCTAGTAAGATTTTATTTATTTCTGGGATGATTTTTCTAGCTCTGTGTTGAACTTTGGAGAAAGTAGCTGCCTGTACATTTGAAGAACCTAGTAAGGTGAGTATAGAGACCAATTAAATGCAGATGCAGTTGTCCCGTGGAGGGCGTATGAGAGAAAAGATCGGTACACATGAACAAAGACTTTTTTCTTTTAGTTTTTGTTTAAGCCTTCCATCCTGTTGACAAGCGAGGACAAGCTATATATATATTGAACAGTTATTTGATGGTAGGGGCACTGCTCCTGTGCCAGGTAAGTTCACTACGGGCTCACCATAGCCCGGGCTACTTGCTCCGCTCCTATGCCAGGTAAGTTACGGGCTCACCATAGTCCGTGCTACTTGGAACTTAATTGTTCCGAGTAGCTGAATCTATAACAACAACAATATTTGATCCGGTTGTGTGGGGGCGGTCGTAACAGATATAGACAAGTTAGCCCCGAGAACAAACGTCAGGAAAGAAAATAGTGTCATAAAACTAAAGCATGGTACACTTAAGAAAAGTAGAAGATCTGGACACTCGCATGAGGGCGCGACACGATTAGCAGGTCAATTATAAAGCCATCGCAACAGAACCGGAGGCGCGATACTGGGTGAGAAGAACGTGAAATAGTGGAATAAAGGAGAGAAACCAAGAAATCCGACGGGGACTGAAAATAAATTGTGTTGACGTTTTGATTGTTGCCGCCGAAGGCGGCTAGTTTATTGTGCACCCCATACTCATCCTGTGAGCGGTAGCGCAAAAGCATTACAGAGGGCACAAAAGGTCTTTATCAGACCTCATCTTGGATTATTACATAAACAATTTCATCTATCCTTCACACCTTATAGTTACAATGTCAGCTAGTTACAGAGAAAGTGCTATTACAAGAGCTACATATTTACAGTAAGTCATCATACATTAATGGTAGGTCTTATCGCTAATACATAATAGTTTGGCCAATGGGGATATTACAGAGTCATAGGGAAGCTTCTGTTTATTATTAGTCCTCACAATACACTACTTGTTTCTGAATCTCATATGTCGTTCATCTACTGGAAGCGAAATGTGGGTACAAGTGCAAGGATTTCAGGTAATTTATCCATGGTAATAAGATAGGTTGCCATATCATACAGAGTGAGCTTAGATTTATCTCTAAAAGGCTCAATTTGGAAGGGAATGGAACCCAACCGCTTGGGTTGTCGGGGATTGAACGCCGACCTGCAAGGAGCGAGGCCATCGCTCTACTGTCCAAGAGGGCGACGGAGTAGCTTGGAACTTTTGTAAGTCTGTGGACCGGTCTGGTAGTTACTCTCAGGAACGGCCGTCTCAGCAGGTATCCTGCGGACCACTGCGGACCAGGCAGACTCGCTGAATACCAAATAGAGGATTAACGGGATGGTCGTAACTGTTCCTTGGTTGAGAGTTTGGCTACGAACAATGTTGTTGGAGGGGGATTTACGTTAATAGTAAACACCATACCAAGAGCTTTATTACCTTCTGTTGTGCTATATGTTCCTCTCCGGGGGAAAGTAGTTTGGGTTCAAGCACTTACGTTGGTCGGGGATAAGAGGGAGAAACGTGAGTCAACTTTTTAAGGGTATTGATACCTCTCCTCCTTCCCTTCTTCAAACATCTCTCTCTCTCTCTCCTCTCCCCCTCTCCCACACCTTCTTGATTGATTGATTGATAAAGATTAGGCCACCCAAGAGGTGGCACGGGCACGAATAGCCCGTAAAACACCTTCCTCTCACCCCTTTCATATATCCTCCCTCCCCCCCCCCCCCACCTTCATTACCACTCCCCCCCCCCACCTTCATCACCACTCCCCCCTTCTCCTTCCCCACTCCTCTTCTCCTTCCCCATTCCCCCCCCCCCCCCCCTCTCCTACCCTCAGAAAAAGTATATAACAAAGCACTGAATCTGGCAAATAAGTCTACGAACAACACAATCTATATTTCAGATATGACTTGGTGAAAATTGCGCAAGAATGGGGCTCAGGTGCCGATATTTCTTAAAGTATGGCACTGGATCCAACCCCTACTGGCCTGACTCCCATACTCCCCATATACTTCTTTTGGGAAAATTGGATGAAGCCAACCTCGAACGTCTGGCCTACAACCTTAGACAAACACACATTATCTTTCATAGATTTAGACTATTGGAGGGGGAATAACCGGCGTTTTCCGGGTGTCTCTGTCTCCTACAGTATTACTGACCTCTATCATTGAACAGACAACCATTTTCTCTAATGGATATTGTCACTAGTTCAATTTTAAATTTGCGAGACAAACCTGCACCTTTTATGCTCGGTTATGTGTAGCAATGCGCGGTGATTCTGTACAGTATTATGGTTGAATACTATTGTGTGTCATACTTTTACAAGACCTATAAATTTCATATAACGATAATTCCCGACTAACAGGACTAGGCTGCCGTCACTAACCTGCAGCCTACGGCACGGGTGAGTGCAGGAAGAATATGGGTATTAGGCTATTAATTAGTTAGTTATCTAGGCTGCAAATAAACTGCTGGCGTATATGTTAACTCTAAAACTAGTTTATTAATGCGGTAACTTGATTAGCTAAAGGAATAATAAGGGTCAGTTCCTGAGGCCATTATGTGTAGTGCAATAAACCGAGAATGAATAATTAACGCAGCAACGGTTGGTCTGCCATATTCAGAGGTAATCACCGGCCGATTATTGGTTTTAAAGACAAATTATCATATTTAACTTCACTGTTGACCTTATATGTTTTTGTGTATAGTCATAAATGTGAAAGACAAAATTATGTTCACAGGGAGGTAAAGCATTTAAAGAGATTCCAGTTATGGAGGTTACAATGGGGGGAGGAGGCGCCCGTGGAGGCTCAGGGTGTTGTCCAGTGTTGATGCAGCAGTGATCACGGGTGGGTGTCGCCGCTCCTGGCGCCTTGCCCTCGCCACACACTTTGTTATATATATAAGTTTTTCACAGTTTATATGGTTTCCAACAAAATTAGGTAGGCAAGATATATAGGCCTATTAACATTATTTAAGTTTGCCGGTGAGGAACTATATGAAAAGTATAATATCTATGCAACACATCTCGGCAGCCCAATTCATTATATATGAAATTTCAATGAATAATAAACATGGCATTTTATAAAACTTTGCATGCACGCGTCATTGTCCTCATGAGTCTAGTTAGCGCCTTCGTCTACTATCAAGCAAAGGACGTACCGGTCTTGTCCCCTTCAGTCGACGTTCCCATCTTGTCCTCTTCAGTCGACGATCCGGCCATCGAAAGTGAACTGCTGGAGAAGAAATCACAGAGCTCTCAGAGTACCCAGCAAGAAATAATTCAACGAGAAAGCGCCAATGCTTCCCATAAGGAAGATAAGTCAGGAGACGCGGGACCCTCAGAGGTCGTGAAGGCCTCGCCCAGAAGTGTTGGGGTCAAGGTGGTTCAAGAACAACAGCAGTGGGAGTTCCCAGTGTTGGAACCCTCTGGCGGGGCCTTCCTCAGCACGCTCGACTTTTCTGGTTACGAACTAAAGGTAATATGTACATGTAAATAATTTTACACTGAGAATTGTAGTTCTTAATTTTTGCCTAATAATTGTTACCCCTTAAAGGCGACCCTCTATGGTGCATCATATCTAGTGAACTGTGACCTTGATCGATCGATACTGAGCACACTAATTCATCAGATCTTACTGATGATATATAGTGACCGAGCCTCATTGAACACTAATTTATGAACTCTCGATATAACTGCAAATGTGTTGATGACATCTGGTAAGTTGTACACGTGTGAGGTCCGCTCAAATTCCACGTTACTGTGGTTCTTCCTGTTGCTCAGCGGGTCCAACATTCACACTCGCTGGGAACACACTACTGGTGACCAGGTTAATTATTTAATTCAGGTTGTATTTTAAGTTTTAATCGACATAATAGCATCAGAAATAGTTCTTGCAGATGTCGCAACTATCATGTATGCTGACGAAATTATAATACAAGGAATCTGTTGACACAAATTCAACTTGGATTAGTTATAAGTTATAAGGGAAAAGTAATATGAATACATATATTACCAAGAAATAAGCACTTTTAACAATCTGTCGCTCAGGATGGGAAATTACTGAGTACGCTATTCTCCTCTACGCTGTGTGGCTTGGCCGCAGAGGACGAGCAGAGGATGTAGGTCAACCCAGGACACGGGGTAAGCTCACCGCTAGTCTTCCCAGTATATAGCCGTGGGCGCGTGTGGGTCTCCTCACGTATGCTCGACTCTAATACAGACAGCAACAGTGTTCAAATTAACCCTTCCACCCAACCTCCAGGATAGGATCATTTAATACGGGAACCTCGGTCATCGAAGCTTGCTCAACTTCCTCACGGCACCTTGGGAGGAATACCTCCCTCTGAACATATATTCGGAGCTCTTGACATAACCAGTGCGTTTTACATTTGTTCTTAGAATTGTTAATACTGAACAATTTAAAGGATATTGATCTAGTCCGCTTTAAAGGTCAGATGTAACATACAATAAACAACGGTTTTAAGCCGCAATGTAGCACAGAAAATAGAAGATGCATTTTTTACTCATAGGATTTTAAACCCATGGAGCCGCCTACCCGCTGAAACCATAGATGCCAAAACATTGTTGCAATTAAAGATCCAGCTGGATAAAATCATCAGGACAAATGGGGGGGGATCATTGACAAGCCGCTGGCTTCCTGTCCTCAATAAGGATAGGAAGTGGCCTTGTTGAGACCACTAGTGAGATGGTGACCCTCAAGTAAATTCAGGTATTGTGTTCATATACATTTGTATCACTGGCATACAATGGTGCTCCCGGCTTGTCTCACACAGAACAAGGCAAGATGCTTTAAGGCATATTCTCTGGTATCAAAAGTAGTTGCAATGATAGAGATACTGTGTATGATAGGCGCGCGATGTGAACCCTAGAGCAGCTAGTAATTCGATGGGGAGGAAAGGTGTGACAAGTTAATTCAAATTATCTAGTAGTTTAAGTGACATGTACTACAACGTTCTAAATCAATTGAAATGTGACATTGAAATTTTAGAATTGAACGTCTCGTTATGAATTGGGATGAGTATTGTATTGTTCTTGTAAGTGCCAGTTAAAAAAGTTTATAGAAGACCCATTATGCGACCTCAGTAACCCTTTCCACTACCGCCCACAGGATAGGAATGGGGTGCATAATGAATGAACTAAACTGAAAAGACTGCTACTGACGTTGAGTTGATGTCAGTGTTTGAGTACTCATTTAAATACTTGTTCCTTTATTGAGCATCATTTATCAGTAGCATTTAAATAGTTATTATAAATTAACGCTCGTCTTATTTTGAAACAAGTTTCTTTAGTCATTATTAGGTATAATTGGTTATGCTGCAATAAGCGTTAACTGACGAACTAACAATTTACGCCCTCAGGACCGCCGGTTCATGGAAGCTCGCAGAAAGTTGATGGTACGACGAGCGGAAGTTCTGCGCAAAGTGTGTAACTCTAGAGAGCGTCTGGCCAGGACTTCTGTCCTCTTGCGTGTGGTCTGGGACACCACACACACGCCCAACGTCGTCTGGTGCCCCGTGTATAAGGTGAGGATGTAAGGAAGGTGTGGCGAGTCTGCTGGTCAACTTTCATCTCGTGTAGGCGTTTTGGACACGGCTCGTTTTCTGTTTAACTGTGTATCGTTAAATTAGGTCATTGTAGGTTGGGTTGGAATAGATGTGGTTGGGTAGGTTATCCTTCATGCTGGCACGTTTGACAGGCGTTTCGTTGCTGCTTACGGCACGAGGCTTGACGTGCCGGTACATCTTTCTTGATCGTGCTCGTAGTTTCATATTAAAGTAAAGTAAATTTTATTCAGGAAAGTACATACATAGTTGATTTACAAACATAATGTTGGATTTATAGATAGAGCTAGTACATACAATACCTAAAGCCACTAGTACGCATAGTGTTTTGGGCAACCCGAAACGCTGGAGCTTCGAGACAAACCACACTTTCTGAACGTTCCATTAGTTGTTTTGAACTTCTCTGGCACCTTGCAGGGCAGGAAGTATCCCCCGCCCTGACCTGCTAAGACTCAGTAGTAGTAGGGCGTCCTGGGGTGGGCGGAGCAGGAAATCCCCCTCCCAGCTACCGCGCACACTTTTTCATGGTTCGTGGCAGTAAGAATTAATGACTGCAAATCGACAGAGTAAATAATAACAAACAGCTGTCCACCATTTGACTGAAATCCTGCATTAATAATCTCCCTAATAAATGGGGTTAAGTTGTTCAGATGTAATTGATAAACTTAAGAGAACAAAAGTGAATATTGGAAAAATGTATAAATGCTGGTTTTGTGTTATACAAGAGAGAGAGAGATGATACTCTGGTAACAACTATAAATAGCAGGTGGCATCTGGTGACACAGGGCCCGTGGAGGGAGGGGCGGCGCATGTAACGGTGTGGTGGACAGGAGGTGACTTAGCATTCACTGGACGTCTCCAGACGCAGTTACGATGCAACTGACTTGCCTTACTAGGGTCATGTTCCATCCCGGAAGTATCATCCCGTCCTCGAAACAATGGTCTAAAGTTTGTCAATGTATATATCCGCCATAGGCCGGATATATATACGAATTGTACCTTCTTGTAAATAAGAAATATATATATTATTATGATTATATTTATCGGTGTACATACACTAAGTTTAGTTTTGTTCTGGAAAGTATACTTCCTGGTTGGTCAGCAGGCTATTATAGTGGCCTAAACACACCAGCGGTTGATACAAGCCTTAAAACTTAAAAGCCACTTTACATAACACCGGCACCAAAGACAGGAACAAACCAGTTACACACAGAATGAGGTCAGTACTGATAAGACACGAGGTTTACGATGCAAATTTCTATTGTCTGTTTAAGTGTTATAGATAAGAAATTTTACATTTTTTGTTTAAGATAAAAATGTTATATATGATAAAACAATCCGCTTATGATGACGATTCAAGACTCCAAAACAACAACAAAAGCACGTATCATTCACATATGACAAAACCCTGATTACTCCCTCAAAATAAAGATGTTGGACCTTTTATTAAAGGAATTATTTCAGAACTGTAACTTGGTTTCCAGTTGCCGGGGACAGGATGCCTATTTATTACCTTGTACCTTATTTATTCACCTCTAGTCAATGACCGAGCCTTCTCAGGATGCAACCCACAACAGTTGCCTAAGTCTTGGACACGTACTTACCATTTATGTGTACTCACCTAGTTGTGCTTGCGGGGGTTGAGCTCTGGATCTTTGGTCCCGCCTATCAATTGTCAATTAACTGGTGTACAGATTCCCGAGCCTATTGGGCTCTATAAAATTTACATTTGAAACTGTGTATGAAGTCAGCCTCTATCACATCACTACTTAATGCATTCCATTTATTAACTACTCTGACACCGAAAAAAATCTTTCTAATATCTGTGGCTCATTTGGGTACTAAGTTTCCACCTGTGTCCCCTTGTTCGTGTTCCACCCGTGCTAAAGAGTTTGTCTTTGTCCACCCTGTCAATTCCCCTGAGGATTTTGTATGTGGTTATCATGTCTCCCCTTACTCTTGTTTTCCAGGGATGAGAGGTTCAGCTTCCTTAGCCTTTCCTCGTAGCTCATACCTCTCAGTTCCGGGACCAGTCTGGTGGCATACCTCTGAATCTTCTAACTTTGTCTTATATTAACTAGGTATGGACTAATGGCTGGAGCTGCATACTCCAGGATTGGTCTTACAAAAGTCGTATGCAAGGTCCTGAATGATTCTTTACACAAGTTTCTAAAGGCAGTTCTTATGTTGGCCAGTCTAGCATATGCCGCCGCTGATATCCTTTTGATGTGGACCTCTGGGGACAGGTTCGGTGTGATATCAACCCCCAGATCTTTCGCTCTATTTGTCTCTTGCAGAATATCACCTCCCAGACGGTACATTGTATTCAGCCTTGTTCCCTTCGCCTAATTTCATTACATTACACTTTCCCGAGTTGAACTTTAGTAGCCATTTTCTAGACCATTCCACCAGTTTGTCCAGGTCGTCCTGTAGTGTCTGTCTACCATCATCTGTCTTGATTCTTCTCATAATTTTTGCATCGGCAAACATTGAGAGGAATGAGTCTATACCCTCTGGAAGGTTGTTCACATATACTAGAAACAGGATGGGTCCAAGTTCAGAGCCCTGTGGAACACCGCTGGTGACATCTCGCCACTCTGATGCCTCCCCCTCACAGTTACTCGCTGTTTCCTGTTGCTTAGATACTCCCTTGTCCACTGGAGCACCTTACCTTTTACTCCTGCCTGTTGCGTATGTATGTACACATACGTACACATACATGCTAGAAGGGGTACTTGGCAGTACCTCGGTCGGTCTCTCTCTCTCTCTCAAAAAAAAAAAAACAAAAAACAAAAAACTTATTTACATTGTGTGATGGGAAACCAGAATGTTTTGTACATTTTGTACATGGTCTCAGGTGTAATGTACAACCGAAAAACTGTTGAAAATTCTGCTGAAAATCAAACCATTTCCGACTTCGTCACTGGGAGTTGCAATAGGTGGTGGATCATGTTGTTGTTGTTGTTTCAGATTTAGCTACTCAGAACGAAGTGTCCATGTAGCACAGGCTATAGTGAGCCCGTAAAAGGCGGATCATCTTAGAGTGAGGGCTATAGTACTGAACCCGACCTACCTATGACAGTTTCATACCGCACATGTCATCCTGGAAAGTGGGTGAGGCTAGCCCTAAGTGTTTAGCCTCCAACCTTGGACAGACATTTTCTTTTATATAGATTTTTTTTTTTGCAGGTAGCTTCTACATCATGGATGATAAACTTTCTACGTCTTGCACACTTCAATGACAACAACACTGAACTCGCCAACCTGCCAGCGAAACTAAAGGAAAAAAAGAAATTTAAGGTAAGAATAATATTTAATAAGTTTAAAGGGAGTAAAATTGTATGATTTATTTTCAAGCTTGGAATTTCATCACGCAGGAGCTCACCACACACAATCACTCCTCCCAGTATTAAAATAATTCTTTGTATAATTTTCTTACACGTTCTCCCTATGCAGGTAAAGTATGGTGCCACGCAGAGCAAGGTATATGAGCTTTATCCACCACCTGAGGACCCACAGGAGAGGACTTGGGTCTTCAAGAACAGTGTGCGGGCTCTAGTTGTCAGACATCCTTATTCCAGGTACAGCACACTATATTCCTGTATGACTACTTCTACCAGTTAATGGTTTTTATTTGGTATTATAGGTGTTACTGTTATAAGATAATTGTTATTGCTGAAAATGTTTATTTGCTGGATTGTTTCAAGCATAGGTTAGACAAATATATACTAGAGAAGGGGGTACCTGGCATTGCTCATTTGGAGGACACATTTTCACTACACACTATCTTCATCAAATGTAATCATCTTTACTACACAGTGTTTATCAATAAACTACACAAGACAAACTTACGTTTAATCATTTGGAAACTGATTCAAATGTTGGATAAATCCTCATTGATTCTTATGATGGATAAATCTGAGAATCGAGTCTGGCATTCAGCAAAATTCGGAAATTGGTATCATTTGCCATTTCATGCAAGGGGGCCAGGGGAGGGGGATTGACCCGCCTATGACCATCACTGAACAAAAACCAAAGTTTGCATAAAATAACAAATTATATATAGCTGGTTTATGGAGGGAGGCACTTTACCTGCATCTTACCTACTTGACTATTATCCTACCCAGGCTCATCTCAGCCTATAGGGATAAGATGCTAAAGCTGAATCCCCTACCAGAAGAACATCACTTCAGAGACCTACAACTACACATCATCGCCAGATATAGGAAGAACAAGACTGAGACCTCACCCTTCCCAACCTTTCCGGAATTTGTGGAGTATGTCATTGATAGCACTAGAGGCTTAAACACCAGGGATGAGTGGATAAGTAAGGTGAGTGGAAAGAGAGAGGAAGGGAGGGGGGGGGATGAATGAATGAACTCGAGTGGTTTGTATTTATATATCTTGCAACTTCAGCCGTAACTTTGGTTCCTGTTTGAAAATTGTGTAGCCAATTAGGTTCCGTTTTGAGATCGTAGGTAAATTTCCTGGTCATAATGCTTTAAATTTATAATGTCTGCCGACTCCTGTTTGCGGCATATTAAACAGCACTTACAAATAAACATCTTTAAAACATCCGTTTTCTGATAACTGTTGTGATCAGTCACACCTTGGTACCTTACAACCCATTCACTTTCAGGTGAAGTGTTGGACGCCATACTGGGCCCAGTGTAATGTGTGCGCTTCAGATTATAATGTTGTGCTCAAACTGGAGTCGATACAGAAAGACGAGAGGTTCCTCATCACCCTGGCAAACATGACGGAGCTCAAGAAAGTAAGTTATCATAGGTTCCAGTTTAGTGCCCTCTCTCCACTTGCACCTGGACACAAACTGTAATTACAGATCTGTGTGTTTGACTGACAATGTTTTGAGAAAGCATGTTGGAAACATCTTTAAAACAAGCAACAGTAGCATAAAATTGTGTTATGTCCAAACATGTCAGAATATTCAGTTTCTGTTCTTGTAGCCTCCAAGGTTAATATAACAATGTTATAGGCTATGAAAATTTTGGAGTCAAGAGATTGATTACTGTCATTATAAAATTTATTAGCCGACGTGTCAAATTTGAGGGATGCAGGTGCTGGTTAATTCCAAGGCTATAAAATCCATGATATGTTCAAGGAAGTTTGAGATAATAAACTACATCCCAAAAGGTTAGAGATGCTTAGGCTATTTCTACTGTGACAATGCTATGCAATTCAAGAAACAGTACAATTAGAATTAGAGTACATTTAGATTTTTTTTTTTTTACATTAAGATGTATCAAAGAGGTGTCCTCCAGTCAAGGAATTGGGCACCCCTCCCCCTCAGTCAAGGAATTGGGGATCCCCCCCCCCCCAATCTCAAGGAATTAGGCGTCCCCCAAGGGATAATGTGTGTATCCCTGGGGGGACGTATCTTAGTTTAACTAATGAAACTAATGTATCTTAGTTTCCCATAAACCTAGCACATCATACTTTTAATTCTATAATAAAATCTCATGCAAATTAAAAATGTTATTCTGTTATATAATCTTCCCCATGTCCTGGAACTTATTACTCATTATTCTAAACCTATTGTTATGATGGCATTTAGGGCTAAGGTCAAGTATTGGAAACAGCTATTCTGTGCCATCTAAAACTATACCCCCAGTGACCTGTGTAGAGACTTACCTGCACTCTGCTGATTTTACATACTGCATTTATACAGTACCTCAGTATTTTTCAACCTTTGTACCCTTCAAATAATTCTGGGACATACTTTAAATAAACACACACAGATTTCATTGTCAAATGAAAGAAATGATTTCTGTCTTTGCTCTTGATACTAGTTAAATGAGAAAAATTACACAACAATGACTCAAAAATATATTTGCATATGATTAAGAATTATCCTATTTATCATTACCATACCAGAAATTTGAATTTTTATATTGTGTATTTATGTTCTTTTGACTTACCATTATATTGTTCCCATTAGCTGAAGTCCCCAGAGTGGCGTCACTTGCAAGACGGAACACCCTCTGACGACCTTGTTGTTAAATACTTCAAAGAACTCAATTTATACCAAATAAAACAACTACATAGTCGGTATCTTCTTGACTTTCTGCTTTTTGGTTACCGTCAAGATAAGCAACTGCTGAAGAATGCACGAGAGTAACAGTTGATCTAGCAGCGCAGAATTGTTAATTTACCAAACATGATACAAAACTTGTGATGTGTAGAGATAATAATGACATTTTCTGTGTGTAATCATTATATGGTTCATGATGAACTGTAGACTAGAAGTGCTCCAACAAATGACATCGGTTTTACGATGAGCTAAATTACTTTCTTCTGAAGCATGTTTTAAGTGTTATGACTTGCTTGTATATTCTCTTAAGTGTTATTCACAATGCTCTTGTTTATAAAACAATATGATAGCTCAAAAATTTATACTTGGAAGAGCAATCATTACTAATTTAAATGTAGGCTGTGATGTATACTGTGATTTATTATAACTAAATTTTAAAGCTGCTTTTACAGTTGTTTGGTAAAACATTATTTTATCACACACATATATCTCCTATCATGGTAAAATTCATGCATTTCCACTGCCCCATTTCCCACTTTATGGGGTGAAGAGGCATCAGTGTTTAGGAAAAAATAAGGCTTTAAGTGAACTGTGTATGAAAAGTTTTTTGAGGAAGCCATTTGGTCACTTCCTAAGGCAATGTCCCAGTCTCCCTTGGGCATGCAACCAAATCAGCCAGGTCAATGCAACCTTCTCATCCTCAATGCTGCAGATGTATTTCAAGTGGGCCACTCTTGAAGAGAAGTGATGGAAGAGAGGCACTCGAGCTTTCAATCAAGACTAGCATAGCCTCCAAAAGTGCCATTCATCTACTGTACACTTAAAGCAATTTTTAGGTTCAATGTAACTGTGAAGTATTGCTCTGCTAATTGGTAATTTGTCCCCTGATCACTTACCAACCAACCACCATGTGATGACACTAATAAGCAGAAGCAACAATAGATCTACACCTAACTTTCATTCCAAGTTTAAGCATAGGGAAAGTTGGAGTGAACAGAAGGGAATGGGATTGAATGAGTGGCTTGCTCAGAATGGAGCTTTTAATCTACACTTAAAAATTTATACCCGAGCTTAAACCATTCAGTCAATCCCTCGGGCAAGACTCCCCCTGGCTACACTCTACCAAAAAAAGAATGGAAACATAAGATAGACAAACAAGACAATCTTGCTCATGTGCAAAGATACTGTATCTCCGTAGCACCAGATGTCCAAGACCACAGACCACTGCAAAAAGCAAAATTCACAAAGCTGACAAATGGCCCAGTCTTGCACACTGACAATGAATGTGGAAAATCTGAGGCATATAAAGGGAACACAAACATGAGGTTTTTCCTCCAAAATCACTGGGTCCTGATGTCAGCATGAGACAAGGCAATGAACTACTTGAATGTGGCAAATTTCTGCAGGTCATGGGTACATGGCGTAGGACTGCAGTTGATCGAGTTTCTCCACTATGCATATCAAGCATATTGAATCATGCCTTAGAACATGGAACCATGGTACAGGAGTTTAGGAATGGAATCAGATTGTTACAAGACACAAGATTAAGGTGAGAGAGCATAAAGATAAACAAAACTCAGACAAGGATATGACTCCTTTGAAATAATGTCTCATTCTCAACCACGGATGAGGGATCTGAATAGCGTTTGACAAAAGTGTTAAACCTACCAAAGACATAAACACCTGATGATGAAAGAACGCATGAAAATCTGTTATACATAATGAAACAAAACACGAAGCCTTCTTGGAGATACGGGAAATGAGGCATGAATGGCAAGACACCACATGGCAAACACAGTTGTCATCTGGATAACTACTGTGAGAGTACAGTGGTCTCAGGATGTACAACTACCTCTTGACTGATATTGTGATCCCTCACTGGTTGGTGAACCAGGCTTAGAAGGGCCAGGGAAGAGTCACTGAACGCCTCTTGTTTACCGTACTGGTGCTGTCACTTTGTGGTGGGCTGAGGTAATAGCTAGATGGACAACTAGCAATTAACAAAGCAACATTTGGGGGGGGGGGTGTCTTTGAACCTAAGTTTTGCCTTTACAAGATTTTTGAGTGCAGATAAATTAACTGTCTGTCATTCTGAACTAGACGGACAATTCCCCAGTGTGTCTCTTCAATAACCTGTGGGTGGTGGAAGTGGCTTGAGAAAGCCTTCTTATCTAACTTCAAGTAATAGGTTAATCTTAATAATTTAAAATTTGACATGGTCTAAAATTAATAGTCTAACTTTGTATGTTTTTATTATTTAACTAATTACAAAATTGTAATACTGTACCTTGAGGCCAAATTGTTTGTATTGTGTAACACCCTACAAGTGCAATGAGATGTACGATCTGGCAGCAGATTATCATTTCAATAATGTATGTAACTTAATCATTTATTTCATGCAATTGTCTATATATCTAATGTTAAGGAGAACATAATCTGAACAATTCTGTATACCTGTAATTAAATGTTACAAATAATAAAAAGCAGCAATGCTTATGTCAGAATTTATTACTGGGCTTAACAGCAACAAGAACGTGATTTCTAGGTGACAACTGAGGGTCAAATGTTGGCACCAGTATACTCTCCACACCTGGGAAGAAAACATTTTTATTTTATACACTGATATTCGTTAAAATTTAATTTTGATTAAATTTTAAATTTGACTATAAAAAGAAAGTATTAAAAGAAGGCACCAAGCCAAGAAGACTATGTAGTACTATATAAAGAATTTGTTTACATACTGTACTATGTATATAGTATTAGGCTGAACAAAATATGATGTCTAGGGAGGATTTATTATTACATGGCCCCAGAGTGCAAACCAACCTAACTTTCCTGGTTACTGTACCAAAAAGTTCAATTAAACTGAAAGCTGGTGCCAGCCTGGCAACCATCTACGTCAGGCTGCGAGCAGCCGCGTCCAACAGCCTGGTTGATCAGTCCGGCAACCAGGAGGCCTGGTCGACGACCGGGCCGCGGGGACGCTAAGCCCCGGAAGCACCTCAAGGTAAGGTAACCATACACTGAATGACAGTTGGGAATGTGAGGTGGTTCAGGTCGGTGGACCCATACATGGTACTGCCACCTGGTGGTCACCAGCTAGGCTAACCACTAGATATTTAGGTTGAAAATCTGTTAATATGGTATCAGAATGCTGTATTATTTTACAGAGCTACATATTGACTATTATTATATACAATTGTAATCCAATACTTTTTTGCTGAACTTTATTAATATTACTGATAAAACTTTCACAAATATACAGTGCTTTAGTACTACTAATGCTTATGCAAAGGAGCTTCAATACAATATTAGAAAGTAACATTCATTATTATTTGTACTTAAGCTCTCATTAAAAGTCTGAGTGTAAACCAACTCACCTTTTTCGTACAGAAAGAGTAGTCTGTCAAGAAGTACCACTGACTCCACTACTGGAGCTAACAGCAGCCGTAACGAGTAGAAGATAACAACCTGTAGGTTAAAAGATATTGGACAAAATCACAATGTTCTCGTTCTCTCTTGTTCTCTTGTTTTCATTCTTGTTCTCTCGTTTGTGTTCTCTTTCATTCTTGTTCTCTCTCGTTCTCTTGTTTTGTCTCTCGTTTCCTTGTTTTCTCTCACTCTCGTTCTCTCTCTCTCTTCTAGCTCTTGTTCTCTCTGTTTCTCGTTCTCTAATTTTCTCTCGTTTTCTCTCTCTCTCATTCTCCCTCTCTCTCCTTTCTCTCTGACAATAATTATTTAGTAATATGGAGCTCACAGATAAGTCTCGGCTTTAATTTAACTATTTTTAAATGCATCACCTAACCTCAAGATGTGTTTACTCTGATTCATATTAGTATTTCTAGCAGTGACATTGCCTTGCTAAGACCAAATAACTGAGCAATTTGGTAATGCTGTTAACATGATGTGTGATTATTGTATGACAAAAATCCCTAGAATGAGTTATTACAAGGTGAGTATTGGTGTTAATATGAGGTAGGAAGAGTCATAAGGAGTGTGAGGAGAAATTACTAGTACTGCATGTTCCTTCACTATAAATAAAGCACACCGCAAACCACATACCCCTGTAAGACCATTATTCACATATGTAGTCTAACACACTGATACCTAAATCAAATTATTACTGAGTTCAGGTATGCAATTCACTAGAAAAGTTAAGACTGCCTGAAAGACAATTCCTCTGGTACTGTACCAATAAATTTATTGGTGCTGCTGTAAAAAAAAAAAAAAAAATCTAACCTTTGGTTTAAAATTAAAGCTTAACATCCCAACAAGATCAAATGAATCTTTTATTGAAAATTACCCACATTTGCTATGATTAAAAAGTGAGAACATGTATTTTGTATATTTAACTTTCAACAAAACATTTTTGGTAGGCACTAATAAATTTTTATCCTTATAACAATAGAGGGATCCTTACCCTGGGAATAAGAGTATAGGACGGTACTTTCCAATTTATCTGAAGTACTCTTTTTAGAGATTCAGAGTATGCAAATGAAAACCCAGGGAGTCTCCCAATGCATACTTAATTGTGTGGCACTTTTGGAGTGCCACACACCAAGGCTTTGCCCTCAGAAACTATCAGAGGTGAAACAACTCAAGAGGAAAGTGATTAATTATCAAAAGAAGGCACTAAGCTGGGAAGACTGAAGTGGAAAAGCATTATGCTATCAAAACTGCAATCTGCTTCAGGGAAGATAACCCTTATAAAGAAGGCTTATAAATTATAAAGTATTTTATAAGAAAATTAATGCATTTACTTCAACTCATAATACTTGGAACAAAATAAGGCCAACAAATTTATAAAGCCACCAATTACTGCAATTCTTACTATGACACTTGTTTAAATTATGCAATATCTGTACAGTACAACAAGCAATAAGTGATGAATAAAATTAAGTGCCTTTTATTAATGCCAAGTAAATAAAACATTTTGCATTATTCATAATTTGAAATTTTACAAAGCCAATGTGTCTCACCTGCATCCAACGGGCGAGATTATGTTTGGTCTTGGCACTGGTCAGATCCCCTCGTGGTATTTCAATACCTCTTAACCGAGAAACAGCTTCCACAGCATACCTATGAGACAAGTAAATAAATCTCTCTCCATGCATGAAGTGATGGTTACATACATAATAAGTACTGTCAAATTAACTTGTACAGCACAGTATAAATGTAAAGATTCTTCAACATTTGTCAGAAAGGTCAACACCACCAAGACCAAAATATCACTCTTAGATACAGTATAATACTCTAATAAATATTCAACTAGTTAAATGATACAAAAATCTATCAGTCATATTTCATGGCAGAATATCTAATGTTTCATTAAAAGTGTAATAAATTATGACTGGTATTATAATTTGTTGGAGAATGAGAAGCTGTAAGGCCAAACTTACTGGGAAAATTCCATTTTGTGGGCATGATTGACAGAGCGTAACCCAGCATGACGATGATGTGGCCAGTACTTCATGATTATTTCTTCTAGGGCTGCTCTGTAACAATGAACCTAAGCCACTAATTAGCATCAGTATAAGTCAAAATATTAGAAAGCTAATTTCACAACTGTAAATATTAATGTTAAACTTGAAAAAAAAAGTACATACCCGGTAGTATCTTTTAGTGAATTAATTTAGTCAATGACCCACCAACTGAGCTCTGCTAAGTCAATCCAAAATCATACATGATATAACAATTGGATCTTGATGAATAAATACCCTAATTTTCTATTATTGTGGGTGTATTTTAATTAATAATACACTATACATACATATTATTGGAGGGTGGGAGGTTTCAACCACTTAATTGAACAATAATGTTGGACCAGAGGTATATGCCAATGTAAGACAATAATTAAGAGAAATCACAATAATTGTAAAAAGTAAATTAGCACCTGTAAAAATAATTAATAAAATTTAAATTTTCATCCTTAAAATAACTAAAGAAAGATCAACACAGTTTATTTCAGCATTTGCAGAGGCATGTATTCAATTACCTTCAGGTTATCTGCTCCTACTTTGAGTCGGCTGATGTACATTTCTATGGCGTGACATGCAACTTCTCGTGCCTCATAGCTTAACATAAACCCAGGCAAGGAGCAAACAAATTTGCTCATGGGGTAACCAGGATGTTCTGTTTCATCACTGGAAAATACAAAATTTCTGGAAATCATTGTTCAGCTCAGTACTGTATAAGTAAATATCTCTAATGATAAATGTTTTAAGGAAATACAAATAACATGTAAGCACTAAAAATAAGCATTAATTAAACAATGAAATGACCTTTTCTGGAAGGCTACAATTAGCTCCTCTAGTTTAGACACTCATACAATTAAGCCACAACTCTGTACACTAGCTATCTGATGCCTACCAGGAGCCAGAACCAGAGTCTGGCTCATTCTACGAGGTAACACAAGCTTGAGGATCAGGGATTGACCCAAAACCAGGAAAAACCTCCACCAGAAAACATAGGGACAGAAAAACAAGCAACTGCTTGAGGAAAATTAGGTACCTCAAGGTAAACAAGGCAAACGATCGTTGCCGCAGGGTAAATACCCCAACTGTGATGTGCTTGACTGCCACCAAATGCCAGCTCAGGTCACCTGTGGTGACAATCAGCTCACCCATTCAATAAGAAGTCTTCTGTACCAATTCCCCCAATCCCTAAGGGTATGAGGTGAACAGAAAGCTGCTGGACTCCTGCCAGAAAAGTTTTTTTTAGTCCTAAGCTGTCAATTGAAGGCTGTGGGTTCTGTCCAGGACAGGACAAACAGTTGGGCATATTTCCTTTTATCTGATGAAAGGTACCCATTTTACTGTTGGGTAAACAGAGGCTACAGTTAAGGATTGGCACTCAGTAAATCCTCCCTGGCCAGGATAAGAACCCAGGACAAAGTGATTGCGAAATGCCAGGCGAGTGTCTTGCCACTACGCTACTGGGACTACAAAGAGGGACTTCATGGAGGGACTCTTAGTAGCCCTCTGGACATACAACAGAGACTTGATGAAGGATGCCAATTCTTCTGAAAAACATAAGAGATCTGACAGGACTGACTCATTGGGAAAGAACAGCAGGAGAGAAAAGCCCAGGGCAAACAGCAGCAGCCGCTCGCCAAATACTCAAGTGTAATACAAGTACAGCGAGGGACATTCAACCAGGAACAAGAGACCAAGCGAGGAAGGACCACCAGAAGCTTCTGAGTGCAAATACCAGCCATGAACAGAATGGCAAATAAGAGTGTCAAAGCAACACACAGCTTCCCAACCAAAAACTGTGACAAACAGCTAGCTGAACTGAGCCACCATCTGAAGAACCTGGGAAAGACAGGTCTTGGAACAGAGAATGGAAGACACGGGTGACAAACAGATCCCAACCCTGATAGCACGAGGAGCACATAAAACATACAGTAATCTTTCAAGCCAAGACAGGTTCAGAAGGGCTTTGAAGTTTCATAAATCCCCCTTTACCAGGCATTATGGACTGTACTGACTATTCTCTAATGGTTCCTAGCCCATATATGATCTGCATGGATGATTTAAAATTCTGTGGCACTGTGCCATTTGTTGTCCTTCCTGACTGTACATTCTGTACAATTCAAAGACATGTAGGACTTACTTCCAAGCAACTGATTGTAATAGCTCATAAAATCAAATTAAATAAAAAACTAGTGGAGTCAACAATTTACTTTTTTTATTATGTCATCTTCATTCACTAAAAACAAGCTGTTTTCCTTCTTCACCTTTGGTATTTTAATAACATTTTAATAATTTCAGCAAAAGATATACATTAGCATCATTATTAACCTGTGAGTATCCAGCTTCATGTAGCAGCACCCAACAGATACAACTGCTTGGCATGTTGACATGTTGGTGAAGATCCTTAGCATGGTTGGGGCCAAGTTGCCACAAGTGTGTAGCCCTAAGAGACCACACACCACCCCTCCCGAGTCCAACTCTGGCCATGCTCCTGTCACCACCTGTAATGTCAACATAACAGAAAACAGGAGATGCTTTTTCACCCATAGGGTTGTAAACCTGTGGAACTGCCTACCCACCAAAGCCGTAAATGCCAAAACTCTGCTGGGCTTTAACACTTAAAATACAGCTGGAAAAGATCATCAGGGAAAATGGGGGGGGGGACCTTTGACATGCCAAAGCTTTCTGTCCTCAGCGAGGCCACTAGCATTAATGGCCCTCAGGTAATTAGTAGTGGTTTTGACAGGATCTCTCTCATTCTGAGGTGACCCTTCCTCATGGAAGGTGCCTAGAGGAATAGTTTTGGTCTATATGCTTTGCCTGTGCACAAATATTCTAAGTTCTTATTGGTTGTGGTGTCACTGTGTTTGTGATTCATTCAATTTTAAGGGTCTCACTTGTTAGCATTAAAAGACTGCTTGTTTTTGTCTTTGAGCCATTTTCAGTTGTTATTCTTATCTATTGTAGACAAGAGTTAGGTTAGGGCATGAGTCTTGTGACAAGGGTACACTGAACTCCCGCTCGAACAGAAATCGGTGCACTGGACAGTTAGATCCAACAAAAGGATTCTGTTTCAGCAGAACAATCATTATATTCAGCTGGAATAGAAAAGAGAAAAATGTTTTATGGTGAAGAAAATCCATGTATTCAGTGCAACATAATTTGGTGACCAAAAAAAGTAACAAAAAGTAAACAAATGATTTAAAATACACTTTTCTCAAGTACTTTTAGTACTGTATCAAAATGTGCATAAAAGCATGGTCTATTTTTTTACATTAACACAAAATATATTACTAGGTATAAAATAGGAAACATAGCACTGTACAAATCTGTTTATGTACTTCTACAGACTTGGTATCCCAACTGTTGCTGGTAAAGAGCCTCTGTTCAGGACATAGTTGAATTCTGCTTGGTGCAGTATTATGGGATGCCATAACGTGTTTGTGATACTTCCTCTCATGCCTTTGCAAGTCCACCTAAAGGGTGCAGAGCCATTTTCACCCTTAGGTGTACTCTGGATAGTGGCCCTGTTTGAGCCGTTGTCTTGTTTAGCAGATCATAACAGTTTATCGGCTGAGGGTTTGCTCGCTGGAATATCGGTACAGACAGTCTCAGTCCTCGGCAAGTTTTTAACTAGCTGAGGACTAGTCTGGAAAACTTTCCTCCTTCTTTGATGAGAATTTAAAATTGCTGGTCCAGTTGATCTATGAGTCTCTACCTCAGAGACTGCTTGGTCTCTCCTTTGGACACCTTGACTTCATTGGTAATGGCTGCATGTCATCCAGATTTCCATCCTCTTAATGAACAAACTGTCTGACAATCTGTGTGGAGTTTTCTGCAACCAGTCACAAAACTGGCTCTAATTTCATATGGTGCAACCATTTTTATATTTTGCAGTGTCCTGTTCAAGCAAAGTATCCCTATAGTAAAACAGTATTTACAAGGACAATGATCTAGATCTGGTATTACAGTTTAGAGGTTCCTTACACATTATCTAAAATATAAGAAATATACAAACCTCTCTAAATGTCTGAGGATCCATATGTGGCTCAAGGAGGCACGTAGTATGACGAGGAGCAGGTGGGAGGGAAGGTAAGGAAGTCTCTCGTCGTTTCATTTTTTCCACAGCCATTTCTAATTGATTATCAAATTTCCTGAAAATTAAAATTTATCCATTTAAGAATGTTCTAAATATTTCTAACAATATTAACACATTAAATTAAAACTAATGTCCCATATGCTGGCATATCTTACAGTACAAACAATATTCTGAAATATTTGCTTAAAATGTAATTAAAATATCATTTGCTACCTTGATCAGATCCTTCAGTATCAAGTCTTCATATATTATATGCAGTAGAGACTTTAGGGCTTGCCAAATATTGCTTGCTTGCATTACTTACTTTGCACCATTGATGAAATCATCCTGTGCTTCCAGACAAACAACTCTCACATCATGTCCGTATGCAAGCAGTCTTGAGAGGTGGCCTTGACCAGAGCCCACATCAATCATGACACCATTGCAAGTGTTTCGTGCAATCTGCCCAGCTATTAGAGCCAAGCGAGCAACCTCATGTTGTTTCTTAGGTTTTAGATGACGACGAAAAACATGCTTAAGTAACATGTGCTGCCCTGCCGCTGAAGGGAAAAAAATTTGTACTACAGATGAATGGTTGTATCCTAAGTAAGCCACTTGGCCACACTCTTATGTAAATGTCCTACTCTCACAGGAACACATCAGCCTCCAGCCAGTCAGTGTGATAGCTGACTGGTTGCCATCACACTGCAGAAGAGATGAAAATTCTCAGGATGCTTGAACTGAGCATGAACAGGATGGATCTAAGTTCAGGTTCCTTACAGACAAGGAGTACTGTTGGCAGGGAAGACAGTGAGATCTCCAGTACCAATGTGTTTACACAGTGCTGTCACCTGGTGATGGTGACCAGGTACACAGTCAACTAGTAGTATGCAGTTGGCAGGACAATTCTTAGTCTGTTTGATTACATTTACAGTAGTGTTGCTTAGTGGTGTTTTGAGTGTATGGGAACGTTCTTTCTGATGGTCATTGAATGAGTATTAGATTGAGTATTCTGCAGTGTTTTCCATCACTCATTATGGCCCCAGGGAGGGAATTTTGAAAATACTGTACTCTAGCTTCTTCAGGTATGAGAAAGTCGCAGTGATTGTGGCTGGAGACTGATGTGTTTCTAAGGGAACTTTGTTAGAATATGAAACTTAAAAATTGGAATAAAATAACCCATTGTTTCTTCTTATATATATAAAGATAAGTTCAGAAAAGCAATTTCTAGAATTACCATCATATAAATAATTGTATTCACTCTTGTAATTTTAGGTATTTTACCAGATTTCTTCATTACTGAGATTTGGATATTTATTACAGTGTTTAGGAAATCCATGTCCAGAAATCCTAGGGAGAATGCTGATCAGTGTTGAAATATTTGGTTAAAAATTGCATCCCAAGTACTATCATTGATAGTACTGTACACTGTAAAGTACTATCATTTTTTATGTTTTTCACTTTTGTAGCCCATGATGTTTGTGCAATACAAGTACAACTGGTCTGAAATTTTTCAGTCACCCTGTGTGTTTGTATAGATTAGATTTAAAGATTGTTTTAACAAAAATACAGTACTTACAATATAATATTAATGTTCACATGTGAGCCCAAGCATGCACTCTCCTTTAATATGATACTGTATTTCATAAGCATTGGATGATGCTATCATATAATAAATTCTCAGGCTCAGAGTTGTGCTCAGGTGAGACCAAGGCTTGAGAAGTGCACCAGGCCTCTGAGACCCACACTGACTTACAGGAGAAGTGCACCAGGCCTCTGAGACCCATGCCGACCCATGCTGAGGCATCCGAGGCCCATAGCCAGGCACTATTTACACACAAGCATACAGTCAACTATATCAACTACCCCAACAACAGCTTTCAATGTGAACAGGTTCATCAAAGTTAGCATTGTTGATCTGTAGCAATGATCATTTGCCTTGTTTGCCACAGAATGTCTTTCTAAAGGCAGTAATTTGTTTTGTTTTGCCTATCTTTCTGTTGAGTTTTCCTTGGCTAATCCCCAAGTGTCATTCATCTCCTAGTGAGAGCTAGATCTTGTCCTGGTTTCTGGTAGAGCAGCATGGGTCTTAAAGAGGTTTGGCACACTTCTTAAGGCTTGGCTACATCACCTCATAAGATACAGAAGTTACTGAGGAGGCCTCCCAAGAACAATTTCTAAAAATTACTATCTAATGTTTTATACCACTGAGGAGTTCTCACCTGCACTTAGTTCCAAAGATGCATCACCCCATCTTACAGACATCAGTTCACTTGGGGGCATTAACTTTGTTGAATCCTTTGCACTGTCATCTGTTTTACAGACCTTGAGTTGCTGACAGATATGAATTGAGGTATTTTTTTCCTCATGCTCTACTGTACTTTTACTTTTCTTAGAGTTCTGTACATCAGATAATTTTTCATGCTCACTACACTGTTGTGAACCAGAGTTTGTTGAATTGCTACAGTCTTCCATTATGTCTGATACACCGCTGCTGTCTGTGCTGTGATTTATAGATGACACCTCACTATACTTGGTTGTTATATTGCTTTCTTTACTTTCTTTGTGCAGAACACTGAGTAAATTCTGCATGCTGAATGGAAGTGGTGATATTCCGGCATCAGTTTTTAAATTTGTATTTTGTTCTAATGAATTATTTGTATCATATCCATGTTCATCACAGTCTGAAAATGTTTCTCTATTCTGAATCTGGTGATTGAGGTAACTTGTGAATGGGTCTGCTGACAAAACAGATCTTCTTGGTAAAGTGTACGTAAAAGCAGTTGCTCGAAGTGCTTGCAGGGAAAGTGGCCAAACATTTTTTTGCCTGAAAGATTAAAATAAATTACCTGCTGTAATAAATTATGAATTTTTACAAATAGATCTTAAAAATTTATTAAAGAATAGCCAATTGAGGCTTTCCCTAAAGTTTAGAGCATGGTAGCATGTTTAATGAACGGATAATAGTAGGTTAGTGAACAGTACAGTATATTCAAAGAAATTTAAGAGGAGGAGGAGAAGAGAAAGACACAGTGCAGGGCATATGGTAAAGGTAATATGGGTAAGGGTATATGGTTGACTGGGAGAAAATAGTTTGAAAGAAAGAAGTGAACATATTAATATGTAATGAATACGCTAATTCACAAGGAGCACTGTACACATTCTTACGAAGCAGTGGGTTGCTATTGTACATTTTTTGTAATTTTGGCATTATAAGGAGTAGTATCATCAACAGGTCTAGCTAAATACTGTACTGTATTGCAAATCACTGGTGAAAACTGGAAGTCTTATATGAACTAGCATTTAAAACAATTAAAAGCCTATTTCCAATTGTTTAAATGCAGAGATTAATATATAAATGTCTCTCCCTGGTGGCTACAATATCCACGAGGTTCGGTTGGTTCGACGCTGAATCAAGTCATCACTGTTAATTAAACATTAAATTGAAGTTGATGATGTTAATTCAGTGTTGAATTATCATTGCTCTTGGATATTGTGCCCAATAGGTCTATGTGATATACCTTAAAGTTGAATCACGAGAGAGGAAATTTGCCAGATCACAAGGTGTTAAGGTATCCAAAATGACTGTCCACTGAGGGTTTAACAGGGACCATAAATCTTCAGTGAAGAAATCCTGTAAAGATAACTGCATTTAAGAAGACCTGAAAATATAATATAAAGTATGTGGAAAAAAATTACAGTACTTTTCAAAGTGGGGTTTTCCCTCATGGTTCTGTATGTTCAGCCCCAGTAGGTGTCTTGAAAGGAAAGGAAGTTACCAAGAAAAAAACAAAGCTCGTGGGTGTCTGGAAGGTATCATCCCGAGGTATCAGACACCGGCATCAGGTACCCGAAAGTTCAGTGACTTATTTCTAGGGAATCACCATGCCTTAAGATCTGATATTTTTTATCATAGTAGCTGAGTATGTCAATACTCTTTGGTGATGTTTTGATATTGTTTGGCGACTTTTTTTGTACGATTTCCAAGCGTCCAAAGACCAGTGATTGGACACCTATATTCAGTGACTCATTCCTTGGAAATCGCTACATTAAGGTCTTTTTTTTTTTAATTTGTATGATAGCATGGTGTGTGTTTGGCATATTTGGTCGAATTTTTAATTGAACTTGGATATATTTGCTCCTGGAGTGTGGACACAAGAAATAGGACTGATTATGGTACCAGTGTCCTAATACTGTTTATCAGCTTTCTAGGTTCTATCTGTGTCATTATATAGTATAAAGGTCATAAATCCATCAGAAATTAAAATAAAATAAATTAAATCAAATATAATCCCTAAATTTAACTATACATAATAATTACAATTTTCAGGAGAACTATTCACTGAATCTCTGTTAAAATTTTTGTTTATTATACCAGATATCTACTAGATATCTTTCATATTTCAAAACATTTTTGGGGTATAATACATTCAAGGATTCTTGGAATTGTTGTGGGTTTGTTCTATGGACTGGTGTAGGGATTAAAGGTTTTTTCAGCCCAGAGATATTGCAACTGATGGCCATCTGGAAAGGGCCAATGTTATTCTACCGACTAAAATTGTAGAGTTGAGTTAAATATTTTGGTTAAGTGAAATGCAGAACAAGCTGGGGTTGCATGTGAGATTTGACACATAAAGCCTAGTAATATTTAATTTTTTTTTATTGTTATGCATAGTTATGAACAAATTTCAAATTGCTACATTATCATAGCATTTCACTACATACTGAGATAATTTGCAATCATTAATGTTGTGTTGGAATAACTTGCTGTAAAAAATCCATATAATAACTAACCTACTGTTTAATGACTAAGGTTTATTATTTGGCAGGAAAGGTAGAAGTAGTGCTCTTGTTCTGTTACGTTTCACCTGATTACACTCGTTACTTTTTTCTGGTGTAAGACACCAATAGACTACAGCTGCAAACCAGAAATTCAAGTTGAAGTGAATTACATTCTCAGAGGAAAAAGCACAAAAATCACTTCAAGCAAAAGACTTGTTATACTGGAGACCACAGATATAGTCTCGAGCTGTAGGCCACAGTAAGCAGCTTGCAACGACAGAGAGAATGAAACAGTCATGAACCGCAGCAGCTGGCACTTCAATCCCTTAATGTGACCTACAGACCGATGCTTCTATTACTGCCAGAAATTCAGAAAGTCTCATAAACAAGAAGTGTCCTCACCAATACATATGTATCCAGAAGATTTCGATACATATCTAAAAACTTGACAGCAGACCTTGTGAAGTCCTTCCAGTCTTGTATACTGTTCTCAGACACTTGCACAAATTGATTCATGGCTTTAATACAGATAACTTTTATTATAATGAATTATTATATTATTATAATCTTGTTTTGTTCAAGAACTTTTGTTTCTTTTTCATATGTGCCGTATGCTTAAGGTTATACTCTAGCTCTAGCTGTATCAGGGCAGTGTTCTTGAGGTAAAGTAGTTACCAGGGCAGTGTTCTTGAGGTAAAGTAGTTACCAGGGCAGTGTTCTTGAGGTAAAGTAGTTACCAGGGCAGTGTTCTTGAGGTAAAGTAGTTACCAGGGCAGTGTTCTTGAGGTAAAGTAGTTACCAGGGCAGTGTTCTTGAGGTAAAGTAGTTACCAGGGCAGTGTTCTTGAGGTAAAGTAGTTACCAGGGCAGTGTTCTTGAGGTAAAGTAGTTACCAGGGCAGTGTTCTTGAGGTAAAGTAGTTACCAGGGCAGTGTGCCTGAGATTTTTCCCTTGATAACTACAAGTTGTGATGAGAATCCCATTGGTGGTGAGGCTTTTGATGGCGTCACCTGAAGCAGTTTCTTCTGCCTCTTAATTGCAGGTTCTCTCCCGTAGGTTGAATGTTTTATGGTGAAGTGCACTCTAGGTGAAGGTTCACCTCATGGCAGCGACTGGCGAGTGTTGATGTTGTGTTGACAAGTGGCGCTCGGTTGTGATGAGATCCGCGGCGGTCACTTTCTTTGGTCTGTGTCTGGGGAGACATTTACTTTTCAGCATTCTTCTTTTATTTTTTATTTGATTTAGCTTTTGTTAATGTAGATTGCATTAACTGAAATATATAAATATATATATATTTTTTTTTATATAATGGTAATTTCCATCAAAATATGTGTTTACTGTTGAAGAGGACTTCAAAGGTTTAAGTTGAAATTGGAATAGCCTATCATTGCAGCCATGGCCTGGCAATAGATAATGTACGCGTTACTCACATGCCCAGACTAAGCATACTTGAGGCAAGTTCTACTTTACCATCCATTTCACATCTTTACTCAACAACTCCAAACCTCTTCAACTCTACCTGTTATTCTCGATCTCTTCCACGTCCCGTGGACTCCTTCACCTCAGCAAGCAGCTTTTCCACCATCTAGCCTATCATGTTCGATTGATTGATGAAGATTATGCCACCCAAGAAGTGGGCCGGAGCCCGTAAGCACGATGTTCCATCTTCCCGCCATATTGTACACCCCTTCCCATATCATCCACCCTATCAACCTCCTCACTAACCATCACTGGACTTCCTTCCTTCTTCTCAAGTTCAAGTTCAAGTATGTTTATTGAGACAAGAAAAAATATATCTCAAAGGGGTAGAGTAGCTTAGGCTATTTCTACCCTTCTTTCTCCCATCTCATACTTCCATCTCACACCCTTCAATTTTATCACTGTCGTCGCCAACCACAACAAACTAAATAAATTATTGAGTTCAAGAAAGAACATGCACCGTTCTTCCTGGCAACAACAACAACACGTAATTAGAACAATAATATCAACAGCAGAGAAACATGTTTGTATTCTTGTTTATCGTCTGGACTTGATATTAGCATTCCAAAACACAAACGCGACTGTGGTGACATGCACGACCGAAGTCACTGACCTGTGCCAGATATCGAGGGTCTCACTCCCCGAGCAAACAGTTATAAAATACATCATTGGTTTTCCTCAGTTTCTCTCTATTAGTGTACTGTAACTTCCTTGATCATAACAAAAGCCAACGCCTTTAATCTATTTTTGACCTGCTGTCAAACTTTCTGAATTATAACACACAAACACTCTTAATCGTTTTTAGACTTTATATTAACGCTTAAATATATTTTGGAATATAATAAGAAGACATAAAGGTTGATTAACAGGTGCACGAGTAATTAGCTCACCTCGCCAGCAAACATCAAACATGTGTTATCTTCCACATCTAACCAGAGGCAAACATGGGTTGGGGGTCTTCGACCTCCTGGTAGCCTCAGTCTCTTTCAAATTGTACCGCGTCGCTGGTAAGCTGTTGTATAGACACAATAGAACAATACACAGCCGCTGCAGAAGAGCCAAGATACACTGAAATATAACTGAAACTCGTATCATTTGGTGACGTTGTAAAGATAAGGAAGCAATGGAATATTTCAGCTCAGTGTTCAGGAAGGTGGGGCCCATATATGGCCCGCTCGTCACCTGTCACAGCCACACCTGTGTTACTGGTGAGTGTGTGTGGTGCTATTATCGTCATAACGTGTAATGAGAACCGTTTTGATAACGTAAAGGCGTCTGAGGCTTCACTTGTGTCCCCAGCACTCACCAGTCAACCTGCAGCCCTGATCTCCGCCTCCCGATCACGTACACCAGCTCCTGACGGTATAACCAGACCATCTCTTTTATAAATCTTAATTTCTACTATCTGAATCCAATGTTTCGTATTCTAGTATGCACCAAGAATATATATTCGAGGTCCTCCTGGGCCAACTACTAATGATTGCAACCCACAACAGTTGGCTGACTCTCAGTTACCTGTTTACTGTTAAGCGAACAGAGATTCAGATGAAAGGAAACGTGGACAATCGTTTCTGTTCTGCTCTGGAATTAAGCTCAAGTCTCTTGATTAAGCCACCAAAGAGGTGGCATGAGCATGAATAGCCCGTAATATTGGCCATGCTCGTCAGCTCCTGTTTATATCCACCAAAGGTCATTCATACATGTCTAACCTACGCTTGACACAATCCCGTGATCTCGCGTCTATTATGTTACCCCGTAATTGGTTCCATAAATCGAGACCCTATTTCCAAATCAGTATTTACCCAGGTCTTTTCTGCATCTAAACATATCCAACATTTATCCAACGTTTCGCGTTGTATTTTGTGTTAATACATTTAACACCTTATTAATGTTATCTTTGTTATACCTTTTATCCATTTGTTTACTTCAATTACGTCCCTAAACTCTAGTGAAGCTTAATTTACATTCTCTAGAGTTTAGAAAATTTAAATAGTTTTTTAATCTCTTCCCATGGAAGGTTTGCACGTGCAAGACACACCTGAAGAATAATATTAGATGTTTCATGGCTAACCCTTTTAGAAAATAAAAATAACCCATTTAGGAATGAATTCCAATGTCCAATTTTCTTTATTTAATACATTTATGCATTGAATTTTTGGCTTTAGAGCCCTAGTAATCAGTATTCCCATTTCTTTCTCACATTCTGGTTTCGCTATTTCCTAATCCTACCTTTTCAGGACTCAACTGCATCTGTAAATCTTTCGTCTATTTTAAAAGCTTGTCTAGGTAGTATTGAAGCCCGCTTTGTATATTATACGTGATATAATGTGGTTATGGTGCCCAAATGTTTCTGTACAAACTCACAGTTGGGTCTCTCAAGGGCTCACACTGCACACTACTGGCGATACATTAGTTCTACGACCCACCCTGAGCTACAGTAATGTTAAATGTGTGTGTTAAGTAGACTGGTCAGCGTAACTCTGACGCTGCCGTCTTGCGAACTTCACTTTATATGATGAGGGCGTGGAGGGGCTGGCAGCCTCCAGGTACTTCAGTGACTCCTCGGTAAGGGTGTTGATGGGTAACGTGACGATGCTTCTAGCTTTCATTTCTAAGGGCGCTCGTTGTCTGCTGGCTAGTGTGTAGTGATATCCTAATATTACAGCATAAATACTGCGATATTCCAACAGCTGTGGAGGAGACGAGGGCCAGCTGTGGAGGAAACCAGGGCCAGTTGTGGAGACTAGAGTCAGCTGTGTTGGAGATCCTGGCCAGCTGGAGCAGGGGGTGGACCTCTCACCTGCCTTAACAACTACATCATGACCGTCCCTTGTCGTCGTCCTTCTCCTGCTACATTCACGCCAGCTTATCTTCTCTTCCTCCTCGTCCTTGTGGCCCAGTACCAGGTAGGTCAGCCCAGTACCAGGTAGGTCAGCCCAGTACTGTTACAGGTGTGGACTGTGTAGCAGCTGCACAGGAACATGTGTAGGTGAAGGTGGTGGCATAGAGGGAGGACAGTATGAGGTGTGAGTCTTCATTAAGACGTGGCGACAGAGTGGATGGCTCTTGGAAGGCGTCGTCCAGGTGTTAAGCCATGTGCGAATGCTTGAGGACACGGTGTCCGTGTCTGGCAAGGTCGGAGAGGGCGTGCCAAGGTTATATGAAGATGGAGCAAGACGCAAGAGTTCGCTGCGTGAGGTCGTTATTCTCTTACTTTATGCGATAATCACAAATGTGTAAACATCACGTTTTCTCTCACGAGTTTGTTTTCGCAGAGGACTGTGGGCGAGAGCTGTGTCGGAGCGGGCGGGCGGTGTGTGGGCGGTGCTGGTGGGCGGGAGTGTGCGTGGGTGGAGGGCGGGAAGGGCCGCCCACTGCAGCAGTCTGACTGTGGACCCGGAGAGACGTGCTGCTTCTCTGGTAAGTCCAACACCATCTGACTCACACATGCGCGGGTCTACTCACATATTGTGCAATATACCCATATCAGTAATATTTAAAATTCTATGTATTAAACACTTCACAAAACCAAGATTTACCACATATTGACCACTCCACACTATCAGGGTCACAGTTCATTGAACACACCACATTATGTCACCTTTTGAACAACACCAGACTACGCTATATCTTAAACACCTTAACACGCCCCTGGGTATAACATATTTTGAAAACACCGCCCAACCAGATAACACCATATTTTGAATACTCCACATACCAGCAGGGTCACCACCGGGGTCACCATCGGAGTCAACAACACAACTGGAAGGCAGACTTACGAGACGAGAGACAGCGGAGGACTTTGAAGGTCTTCACCAACCTCGAGGGAAGACGCACGAGAGAGAACAGGAACGGAAGTCACAAAGGAGAAAACAAATGAATATCAGCAGGCACCGGGATAACAGCAGACCCGGGGATAAGGCCAGTAAAAATCTAAAAATGGGTGAAGGAAAAACAAGTAGAAAAGAGAATAATTTGGAAAGTGTTGCAGCAGCACCAGGAAGAAAAGCAAAGACGATGAATTTAAAGAACAACGCAAAACTTAAGAAAGAATTAGAATCAAACGGCGTTGAGGCAACACACTCCAGGAGGAACTCAAAGAAAACAAAGGGTAACAACTCCACGGAGAAGACAGCTAGAAAAACAAAAAGCCTACAAAATAAAATTAAGCAAAAGATAATCAAGAAAACAAAGAAAACGCAACCAAAGAAACCTGAAAAAATACGATCAAAGAAAAATAACAAAACTCTATCAAAAAAGCCTCAGAAAACGCAACCAAAGAAATCTAAGAAAACACTACCAGAGAAGAACAAGAAAAATCTATCAGAGAAAACAAAGGAAAGATTTCCGAAGAAAGTAGATAAATTGCGACCAGGGAAAACGAAGAAAACGCTGTCAAAGAACACGAAGAAAAATCTTACAAAGAAAGTAAAGAAAATGCAGCCCCCCACAATTAAGAAAATGCAACAGGAAAAGACGAAGAAAAAACAATCAACGAAATTGAAGAAAACGCTACAAAATAAAACAAAACAAACACTAAGAAAGAAAACAGAATTTCAGGGGAAAGAAAAGAAAAGGAAAAATAAAACACGTAAGACTAAAACGAAAAATAAAAAGAACAAAAAGGCAAAGAATGTTGTCAAAAAGAAGAAAACCAACAAAGGAAAGAAAAGTAATAAGAACAAAAAAGGGCATTTGAACAAAACCAAATCCCAGTCCAAAATCTCGTCTAAGAAAGGCAGCAAATCTTCCAAGAAAAAGGAGAAGGCCAAACAACTGGGGCGCCAAGAGACGAAGACAGGAGAGAAGGAGAAGGAGACATCTTCGAGGCAAGATTCAGGGTCGAAGAGAAAGTGTAGGAGGAGCAAGAAGTGTTCAAGAGCCGGAGGAAGGTGTACCAATGGTCAGTGTTCCACTAAGGTCATCGCGGGACGCACCAATTGTAAAGGGAATTCTTGCGTCTGCTGTCGTCTAGGTCAGTCCTCCACGGTCTTAATGTTCTCTATTTATTATTTGTTTAATGTTGTATTTCTGTACGGAAACGGAGTTGCAAGTCTGTATAGTGTTTAAACTCCAGCAGCAGTTAAAATAGTTATACTCTTAAACAAATTCAATCCCAAAGCTACCTTATCAGTTAACTTGCCACTGGCAGTATTTTCCGGGAAGGGGGAGAGGAAGGAAGTATTTTGAAGGAAGTAATAAGTTTTTTGGGAAATTGGGCACCGTTCCTTGCCCTATACTTGTCCCTATGTTTTTGTTTTTTATTTAGCTACTCAAAACGAAATGTCCATTTAGCAATGGCTATAGTGAGCCCGTAAATTGTTGTCCCCATATACCTCCCAAGTGTTGTATAGTCATACTGGCTTAGTGCTCTTGCCTCATAATTCCCTCACCCCTTCTGTATGAGGCTAAGCAACACAGCCTCATCTACCTTGTAATCCCGTCTACCACAGATGGTGGCTCCTCACCACAACCTGGCCTCTCCATATTATATATATTACATCTTGACGTCAAAATCTCCAATAGACAAAATATGGTGTGCTGACAATCACAAATAACAGCTGTTTCTGTGCGTGACTCCATCGGTTAGGTTAAATTTGGGAAATTCAGTACATCTTTTTTGTGTGAGGACGGACTGGATGGTCGGTGGTACTGAACCTGCATAAAAAAAGTTTGGGTTTACCACAGGACTACGCTAGTTTAAAGTTTACTTACTGTAACTTACATAATATGAGCTGCATTAAACTAGTGAATCAATTTTATGAAAAGTATTAGTTTAGAGGCAGTAGTAAATCTGAAACTACACTTAAGAGAGAATTAATCTTTTACAGTTATTTTGAAGGAACAGCCTAGGCATCCCACATTAAAAAATATATATAAATACGTATAATAACACATTTAACATTCAAGGATCACCTTATACTTACATGACAACCTCCAAAAAGAGAGAGAATAGTTGGCAACTGATTTCCGATATTAATACTTATCATAGGCCAATTTCTTTTAAATAAAGCTCGGATTTCCTCTGCTATTAAAAGCTGGAAAAATAGGCAATATTTTGGGACGTTCCCTAAAGCTATGCATTAGGGTCGTAGGTTAATGCTTCCCTCAAAAGAGAGATTTGAATATCCCTTTGGCTACGTGAGTTCTGAACCTCCAGTATGTTAAGATGTTCCTCTGTACCTGTCAGTGTTGTGCATGACTCTCTTCTGCTCAAGTCAACTTCGAGTATGTTTATTGAGACAAGATACATTTCAAAAGGATAGAGTAGCTTAGGCTATTTCTACCCCTCGTAACTCTCTTCTGTTCTTCCCGGGAATATGGTCACCTATAACACTTTAGGTATCTTTACATTCTTCCTTAAACGTGTGAGTAGCAGTTTTCCGCCAAATTTATTTATGAACATTTAAATGTTATAGAGGCGAATTATGTGAAATTCGTATTGACAGAGATATTACCTTTAGCCATACAGGTAGTCGAGTAGTGGTCTTGGGGCATACTGGCAGTGGAGGAGTGATAGAGAAGTGATCCTCAGACATATAAGTAGAGTAGTATTTACTTACAGCTGTTTGACACATCTGCAGGTATATATATAACTTAATCAAGAGACACATGAGAGTACCTCCTGCTAATAACCTTGTGAAAACCTCAGATTGCTTTGCTTGCTGCTAATTACCTTGTATACACCTCAGATTGCAAAGTCAAAAAGAGCTGCAAGAAGTACTCTGGTAAATGCAAGGAGAAGTGCTCCCGTCTGGAGCGCGAGATCACCAAAGGCTGCGGTGGACGAGGCTGCAGGTGCTGCGTCGCGGACTGTAAGATCAGACCCAAGTGTAAGAGGGCCGGGGGCTCCTGCAGCAGCACGAGGTGCTCCTCCAGCCAGCAGGAGGTGAAGGGCGGGTGTCAGGGCTACCAGTGCAGGTGTTGCAGCCCAAAGTGCACTATGAGGCCCTCCTGCAGGCGCGCGGGAGGCTGGTGCGTCACCAGCAGCAAGAAGTGCACCACCGGCCTGCTGGACAGCTCCGGCTGCAAGGGAAGCTCCTGCGTCTGCTGCCTTCCAACGATCACTAGTGAGTGAGGAGTGTGTGTGAGTGAGTGAGGGAGGTGTGTGTGTGTGAGTGAGTGAGGGGTGTGTGTGAGTGTGTGTGAGTGAGGGAGGTGTGTGTGTGTGTTAGTGAGTGAGGGGTGTGTGTGTGTGTGTGTGTAAGTGAGGGAGGTGTGTGAGTGTGTGAGTGAGTGAGGGTGGTGTGTGTGTGTGAGTGAGGGGTGTGTGTGTGTGTGTGAGTGAGGGGTGTGTGTGAGTGAGTGAGGGGTGTGTGTGAGTGAGTGAGGGGTGTGAGTGAGGGTGGTGTGTGAGTGAGGGTGGTGTGTGAGTGAGGGGAAGTGAAGAAGTGAGTTTATGATAATATCAATAATGCACTGGTCTATAACATTTAATACAAATTCTTAACAAAAGATATATAATATATATATATATATATATATATATATATATATATATATATATATATATATATATATATATATATATATATATATATATATATATATATATATATATATATATATTTTACAGCTATAACAACGGGAACGTCATCACCATCCACAACAACAGGAACCACTGAAGGATCATCATCATCTTCCACTGATGGATCATCATCTTCCACTGATGGATCATCATCTTCCACTGATGGATCATCATCTTCCACTGATGGATCATCATCTTCCACTGATGGATCATCGTCTTCCACTGATGGATCATCATCTTCCACTGATGGATCATCGTCTTCCACTGATGGATCATCGTCTTCCACTGAAGGATCATCATCATCTTCCACCGATGGATCATCGTCTTCCACTGATGGATCATCGTCTTCCACTGATGGATCATCGTCTTCCACTGATGGATCATCGTCTTCCACTGAAGGATCATCATCATCTTCCACCGATGGATCATCATCTTCCACTGATGGATCATCGTCTTCCACTGATGGATCATCATCTTCCAGTGATGGATCATCATCTTCCACTGATGGATCATCATCTTCCACTGATGGATCATCGTCTTCCACTGATGGATCATCGTCTTCCACTGAAGGATCATCATCATCTTCCACCGATGGATCATCGTCTTCCACCGATGGATCATTATCTTCCACTGATGGATCATCGTCTTCCACTGATGGATCATCGTCTTCCACTGATGGATCATCATCTTCCACTGATGGATCATCGTCTTCCACTGATGGATCATCGTCTTCCACTGATGGATCATCGTCTTCCACTGATGGATCATCGTCTTCCACTGATGGATCATCGTCTTCCACTGATGGATCATCATCTTCCACTGATGGATCATCGTCTTCCACTGATGGATCATCATCTTCCACTGATGGATCATCATCTTCCATTCCATCGTCTTCTACTGATGGATCATCGTCTTCCACTGATGGATCATCGTCTTCCACTGATGGATCATCATCTTCCACTGATGGATCATCATCTTCCACTGATGGATCATCGTCTTCCACTGATGGATCATCATCTTCCACCGATGGATCATCGTCTTCCACTGATGGATCATCGTCTTCCACTGATGGATCATCGTCTTCCACTGATGGATCATCGATGGATCATCGTCTTCCACTGATGGATCATCGATGGATCATCGTCTTCACTGATGGATCATCGTCTTCCACTGATGGATCATCGTCTTCCACTGATGGATCATCGTCTTCCACTGATGGATCATCGTCTTCCACTGATGGATCATCATCTTCCACTGATGGATCATCGTCTTCCACTGATGGATCATCGTCTTCCACTGATGGATCATCGTCTTCCACTGATGGATCATCATCTTCCACTGAAGGATCATCATCATCTTCCACCGATGGATCATCGTCTTCCACTGATGGATCATCATCTTCCACTGATGGATCATCGTCTTCCACTGATGGATCATCGTCTTCCACCGATGGATCATCATCTTCCACTGATGGATCATCGTCTTCCACTGATGGATCATCATCTTCCACTGATGGATCATCGTCTTCCACTGATGGATCATCGTCTTCCACCGATGGATCATCGTCTTCCACTGATGGATCATCGTCTTCCACTGATGGATCATCATCTTCCACCGATGGATCATCGTCTTCCACTGATGGATCATCTTCCACTGATGGATCATCGTCTTCCACCGATGGATCATCATCTTCCACCGATGGATCATCGTCTTCCACTGATGGATCATCATCTTCCACTGACGGATCATCGTCTTCTACTGATGGATCATCGTCTTCCACCGATGGATCATCGTCTTCCACTGATGGATCATCGTCTTCCACTGATGGATCATCATCTTCCACTGATGGATCATCGTCTTCCACTGATGGATCATCGTCTTCCACTGATGGATCATCATCTTCCACTGAAGGATCATCATCATCTTCCACCGATGGATCATCGTCTTCCACTGATGGATCATCATCTTCCACTGATGGATCATCATCTTCCACCGATGGATCATCATCTTCCACCGATGGATCTTCATCTTCCACTGATGGATCATCATCTACATAAGAATCAACATAGTCCACTCATGAATCAACATCTTGAGTTAATCTGTCTATTATAATTCTTTAAAATATAATAGATGTTCATGTTATTTATTAAGAACATTATAACTGTGAGGTTGTGAACGTTAAGGTTGACTTCCTTCTTATTTTAGCTTTTGTGTTACAGTGTTCATCTTCAGTGTTAACTTTATTATTGCTGCAATTATTCTTGTTTCCTGTGAGATGTAAACAAGGAGAAATGTGTTGGGTTGGTTTGTTTTTTGTTTGTTTGGCGTGGGGTGTGCAGTTGTTAACTGTTTTTTTTTGTAAATTAATTTCTTTGTTACTCAGAATGAAATTGACTCTATGTAAAATGGTAGAGTTTTCTGAGCTGATAAAAGAATAATAATTTCACACCAGCTTTACTTCAATTTAAGTCTATTATTATATATAATACAATATGTAGAGATCTCATAGAAATGTTACACATTATTTCAAATAGCAGCAGACAATTAGGTCAAGCGAGGCTTTGGTTCTATGGAAGGCTTATCTAATCCTCCGCATGGAGTTTCTACCAGATAATTTTCACAAAATCTTAGCGCATAATTCACAGTTAGTTGATTATCCTCCAAACATTGCCCTAAATGATGATTTTTTTAATTGTTTACATTAATTTTCCAACAACTGAAGTTTAGCTAATTGGTTGATAATTTCAGGCAGGGGTTTTATTGCTTTTTGTTTTAAATATTAGTCACACAAAAACACATTTCCAATTTTATTGAATTGTTCTTTTTTCAAGTGACATTAAAAAGTTCAGTAATTGGTTTTTATTATTTTTCCCCTCTCAAATGTTGTTTTTGTGGAATTTGCTGAGCCCAGCAATGTTTTGTTTTGTTTTATTTAGCTCCACAAGTCCCTCCTCGCCGCCTGTGTTTAGTGATGGGAGGAAATTGTTATCCTTGCCCAGCAGCAGCATTGGTAAAGGGAAATGATTAAAGTTTTTACCCTAAATACAGATATGAAAAATAAATGTAAAATCTTGCCAAGTTTGCTTAATCATTCACTTGGTAACAATATTCTAGTATTACAGCCTAACTTTTTGTTTTTTCTTTATTAAATAATATACAATATAAAGATCATATTTACTGCCACCACAGCAGCAGGCAACAACGCTATATATTTACAAGGGAAAATACTACATTTATATATAGTTTATATAATTCTCAGTAAACCAATTTTCCATACCATCACAGAGCATGAGCCGTAAATCCCAAATGTTATTTTTACTTGATCTTGCCTCGCAAGAACTTCAATATTTTGACTACTGAGTAATCCTGACCAAGAGATCCACACCTCCTGGACCTTGACATACACAGAGGAGGTTGTTAATGTCATGTGGTCCGCGGGTGTCATATGGCACTTATGAACCTTCTGAAACCTCTTAGAGATGTATCTCATCTCATCGCTGAGATGAGATGTATCTCATCTCAGCTATGGGACGAGTCCCGCCTCTAATTACAGAGAGTATCTTGACTCCACTTAAGAAACTTCTTGGAACATTTAATTCAACCCTTTACACGAATTGTCTTTCACATTTCATTACCATTCTGCCTCCTGTGACGGAACTGCCCCATTCCTCCATTCTCCTAATAACTCGAGGAAAGTGATATCTGGGAGATGAGTTAATAAAACTTTTTGTTGATAAAATAATTAACAAAATAAACCTTGATGAGATTAGCCAAGAGACTCATTCCTGGTGTTGGACATGAACATGAGTACGCGTTACTGAAAAAATTACAAATGGAAAGTTTTGCCGCTATATATTTGAATAAAAATATATAAAAAAATAATTGTAATTATACAAAAACAAACACAGCTGGTCTGACAAAGACGTACAAAAGTGCTAGGCCTGACGGTGGTACACAAAAGTGCAGGGCTTGACAAAGGTAAATTAAAGTTTTGAGCCTGAGAAAGGAAGTAAAAAGCTACTCGAAACAAAAGCAGTTCAAGAAGACTGGGACCATGCACATTTTAATATTTAAAAAAAAAAAAATCAATATTTTTCCGTATATTATCAATTAATTATCTAAATGTCATTAATTGATAAACTAACAGAAACAATCAATGGATTTCGAATAGTTCAACAATTAATGGGTAATCAACTAATTTAGAGAAGTCCTTGCATAGTTGCAGTATGAATCGTCTATGATATTAATTTGCATAACGCAAACATGGCACTGTATGCGATTTACTAAGATTTTTAGAAATAATTTGTTACATATCATAGATAGCACATATATGTGCTATATTAGGCATAGGATTGCTATAACAGGACAAAATGATGTGAAAAACGGGGGGCAA